CAGGCACGGCATTTTTGTTGATAAAATGTCTATAAAATGAGTGACACAAAGAAGGGGAATAGGGAATGATTGTTCCCGGTCTCTTCCGTAAAGGAGGTGAGAACATCAGATGATAGTAATGGGAAAGAAGTAAAGAAGCAATGGTGATTTTTTCAAGGAACACATGGTTGATCTATGGACCTTCTTGCCTCAAGATGTTGCAGGTGCTAAAGGGTTATACGCATTCAAGGGACGATGCCCAAGCTCATGGAAGAGAAATCCATTGTGTGTTACTAAAACTAGTGAAACCATGTCTGGTTTGGAAATACTTGGGGGAAATGTCACATAGAATTACACCATTCCTACACTCTTCCCCAGCCAACTGCTTGTGGTCACTGTTGGATTCAGGGTAGCTGTGCACTGTGTTCCACCGCGCGCTACGGTTGTGGCCTGGTACCCCAGCACAACGTCCCTTTACAAATGAGAGAAAGCTATTTGGATGGATTGTCCTCCTGAATGGACCTCACAGTCGCTGTTTCTCTCTGTGTCTCATCTGAAAGGCACCATGGAAGAATAAGCATTGAAGGAGGCTGAGTGCGTTTTCCCCAGAGTTTCATAGCTACACTCCAGCAAACAAGAAAATAGTGTTCCCTTTTTTTTCTAGAATTACATATAGATGCACATGGTCTTTGAGAGTTTTCCACTGGAGAATGGACAAGGCCTGGAAAAAATCCAAGGCAGGGACAGCCTCAACAGAGTACTCATTTGGTGTCAGCCCTTATGGTCTGACCCTTTGCCTGCCTTGTCTACATCTTCCTGCAGTTCTGCTTGATGCCTGTAGCCCAGCCCTTCCATAACTGGGAGGAGACGGCTTTTGTGGTGCATTGGTGCTCTGCAGTCCAGAATTGGAGTAACACTCAGAGACATGACATTTCTTCATGCCAAACTGTTCTTGGTGCCAACCTAGATGAGCTCTGTCTTGAAAGTGTGAGCAGCTGGGAGGGATTATAAAAGAGAGAGTACCAATGACATCACCTCCAATCAAGGTGAAAGTTATTCAGACTGTCCTTGATCATTCAAGTTATATCTCATTAAGTTTGTCTATGTAAGACAAACCTGCCTGCTATGGTCATTGCTGTATTGTGGGACCTCAGCAAACTGGTTAGTATACTAGAGTAGTATAGGTGATATTTACCTAGGTGTGGTCCGATGTAAAGCTCCATCTATACCTTTCTCACTATTATCTCAGCCCCTTGGCTTGTTAGAGGATGCACTTGCTTTACGTTATTTTAAGGTCTTCTGGTTTTGATCGTTCTTCACCGCAGAAGAATGAGAAAGACCAATGTCATGCTGAACATTTCTGTTTCTCTTTAAGCCTTGTGTTTCTTAGGGCTCGCATGGAGCCATCCTCTCATACTCTGGCAAAGGGCAGTGGCATTCATATAGATGAAATTAGGCTGAATTTTGGTACCTGAAATCTGCTACCAAGGCAGTTGTTTCTGCTTCTGCCTTTCCTTGACACATGTGAAACCCAACTACTTGGAGACTGATCCTGTGCACTGCAGAGGGCTATTTCCCGGTGTTGATGATCCCCTGTGCCCCTGTTCCTCTGGCAATTACTGACCTTCCGATTATTCCCAGAGGCAGTCTCTGATGTTAAGAAGACAGTAGTTTGTTTTAAACTTGAGATTTACTGAAATTCAGAGAACACGTGCTGCTGGAGTTTGCTTTTAATGCATTGCTCTGTGTATTGCTGCATAAATTCTGTAATGCTAAAGCAATGGAGAGTTAAGTGTTTCTTTGGTGTGTTTTGAAACTCCTCATTTCAGAGTGCTGAAGGCAATGACTAAGGTGCCTATTCCTTAAAGCCATGTTGTACTGGAGAAAGATATGACTCTGATCCCCTATACATGAATCTATTTGTAAAGTCTTATTCTGGCTTCACAAATAAAGTCTTTCCTTCACCCCAGCTTCATGGTGAAAATACAGTAAAAGACGTTTATCTGATATTGTGGAATGTAAGTGTGACATGGGGCAGAATAGAAATCAGAATTTCTGGATATTCTGTTTAACTATGTGAATTGGAGAGAAATTAGAGCCTGCTAGTGTCTGTGCTTTCCTATCTGTAAAACAGGGATAGGGATATATTTCTATCTTATGGGAGAGCTGTGAGTCCCAAGTGAATTACAAAGTCTGTGACAAATCTTAGAAATTCAGTTGTGAGCTAGCGTGTAAGCATATAATTCTGATTCTATGATTCTATGATTAATGTTCTATAATCTCCCTAAACTATCTCTGTGGATATCTTTAGTGAGAGGGATATAGTGGTACTGAAAGAAATTTTTTTTCACCCTAACCATTTTCTTTAGAACCCAAAGTGAAAGCTGTTTCCACCAACTGCCATCTCTGCAACCATCTGGAAAATCACATTTTCCGAAGCTTTCCTTCTCTTCATCAGCTGTAACTAAAGCTATAAAATGGGAAGATGTCCCTGGTTTAATTAACACCCCTGTAGTTCAAAAGCTGATCTTAGTAATGAGAGGCAATTATAGCCTTTATTGAGGGACAGTCAGGTGGAACACACCCAGCATCAATCTATTCAAGACACTTCCCTTTCCAGGTAATTTGGAAACTGTTTTTTATGAAGAATAGGCTACCTGGCCCAATACAACAGGTGAATCTCTTTGGTTTATAACCTGAAAAGAACTTCCTATTTTGAGTTATGTGCTCCTTCTGTAAACTGGTTTCTACATCCCATCTGTCTGCCAACAACTAGCAACTGAGCTAAGGAAATACCTGGTGCTTTTTGGAGGGCATTCTTGCTGGTTTTCTCATTTTATTTTCCTTGTCCACTGTTGCTTTTCATTTTGAAGGTTGCCTGGTGTTTGTATTTTTGTCCTATCAAAACTGCAAGCTCTGTGGTGCACCCACATCCTGAGGGCTATGCAGAGTTCAGGTTTCTGCCCCTCCGAAATTATGTAGAGCTAGAGAGGGTCCAGAGAAGGATATTAAAATGATCAAGGGAATGTGATTTCTGCTTTATGATCTAAAAAGGCTGTGTCTCCAATTCAAGAGGAGACAGCTGAGGGCAGAGGTAAAGCTGACTTTAGCTGAAGTCATGCAGGTGATGGATAAGGTAGATGTAGAACTAGAGCTAATGGGCTCTAGCTGAAACAAGGGGATCTGCTTGAAATTGTGAAGTACTTTTTTCACAGCAGATAGTGAACTTCTGGAATCTATTGCCACAGGAGGTTGGGGCAGTGGGCAGCGTCACAGGTTAAAAAAAAAAAAAAATAGGCAAATTCAGAGCAAGAGGTCCATAACCTTAGTCTAAAGGTAATGGGCTGGGCTGAGGCAGTACAATGGGAATGGTCTGCAGAGAATGGCCCTGTCTTATGGTCTGTCTCAGTAGTATCTCAGCTGCTGTCTAGCTTCCAGCTTCTGAAATGTAAGAGTGTGGGTCTGCTGTATGCCCTGTGTTTCATCTGCCAGCGCTCTGTGGTTAACCTGATATCTCAGGGGTCTCAAATGATGCTAGATGCCTCTTTCTGGAAAGCTGATTTAAACGCTGTTTTACAATGCAGGCATCTACATTGGAGCTAGGCACTGAAGGTGAAGCTCTATTCAAGATTAAGATGCCCACATTTGGCTGTTTGCATGTAGTTGTCTACCCATGCAGTAGGTGTCTAAATTCTTCTGCAGTCAACAGACATCTAGTTAGTCTAATGGGGACCTAACAAATAGTCGATGGAACAGTCAGTACTGTCATTTCGTCTCACCATAAGGTAGACTTGGGATGGTCAGTTAAATAACTACTGGCTGTCTTCATTAAATCTTTGTGGACTATAATGGGAGCTTGGACACCTAGCACACATGTAGGTACCAAAATTTTGGTATATTATCTTGAACTAAGTTCTGACCGGAGATTTCAGTTATAATGACTGTAGAGAAATAGATGTCTCCTGAGAATAACTCATTGATGTGTTTTAGACACCTAGGTGTAGGTGAGAGGAACTGCACTTGTGAAGTGCATATTTCTATTCATTGACTTTAAGGGGAGTTTAAGCAGTGCTACCCACGTGGTCAATGCACAGTATGACCAGGTGAGTCCCAGCTGTCGCATTTTGTAGACTTTGATACTGTCACTTAGAATCTTAGCTGTAAGAAATGTAGATTTTTAAAGCAGTGTGATGTGAAAAAGTGAAACTATAATTTCAAAATAGACCCCACACACACTTACGGTTTGATTTAAAATAAAGGTTCAGCCGTGATTTTACTGCCTGTAAACTATGCTGTGAAACACGCCACATACTCTGTCCTGGATTAGTTTAATATCCTGACAAAATTGCCTTTGCCAGACTAGCTGTAAAAGCTGTACAACTATGAAACAAGCTGATGAGTTGTTTATTCCTCAATAATTAAAGACAGAGCAGACATTAAACCCCTAAAGTTATACGGTGTTCCAGCAGTGAGTGGCTTTCACAGGGTGTCTAGGAGAAAGGGTTGTTCAGTATGGAAGAGTTTGGAAAGGAATTTCTTTGGTTGATGGCTCTGTGGACATTGTTAACTCCATGCTTCCAGCAGACACAGAATTTGGATGCCATCAGTGTACTCTGGTTTTGGGACAGGGCAACATCAACTCCTCTCAAAAATACTGTGGACAAGTCAACCTATTTCCAAAATTTCCACTATTGCATGTGATACAGGATAGATGTGAAATGTCTTTAGCAAATGAATGCAATAGGCTCTTGTTTAGAAGACTGCACTATTATTTGAGGTAGGACAGATGGACCATTTTTCCGTCTGCCACTCCTGTGTTTACAACTTTGTTCTGTGTTGTATTTGCTTCGGATACAGGACGTGGGCGAGGAGATAGGAAGATTGTGTGACTGTGATGTTCCTGTAGCTTTGCATCTGGCTGTGCCATCAGCATCTCTGCCATTCAAATGGCTTGCATGAGGGGGGAGCCGTGGTCATCACCTGCCTTGCTGACTGACCTGTCTTTTCATTCCTCCTCCCAGGTTATGGACATGCTGCCCCAGGGACAGATGCGGGGAAGGCCTTTTGCATGTTCTATGCGGTCCTGGGGATCCCACTGACACTCGTCATGTTCCAGAGTTTGGGCGAGCGCATGAACACCTTCGTCAAGTACCTCTTGAAACGCATCAAAAAGTGTTGCGGGATGAGGAGCACTGAGGTCTCCATGGAAAACATGGTCACTGTGGGTTTCTTCTCCTGCATGGGAACACTCTGCATTGGAGCAGCAGCCTTTTCCCAGTATGAGGAATGGAGCTTTTTCCATGCTTACTATTACTGCTTTATAACATTGACTACGATAGGGTTTGGAGACTATGTGGCCCTGCAGACCAAAGGGGCCCTTCAAAAGAAGCCTCTCTACGTGGCTTTTAGCTTTATGTACATTCTAGTGGGGTTGACAGTCATTGGGGCATTTCTAAATCTGGTTGTTCTCAGGTTCTTAACCATGAACAGCGAGGACGAGAGGCGGGATGCTGAGGAACGGGCGTCCCTGGCAGGGAACCGCAACAGCATGATTATCCACATCCAAGAGGACTCCCAGCATGGTCGGCCACGGTACAAGGCCGAAGTAACAGACCTTCAGTCAGTTTGTTCCTGCATGTGTTACAGGTCCCATGAGTACACCAGCCGGGTGGTGTCCCACCAAAATTCGTTCGGCTCGAAGCTGAACCCCCAGTACTTTCACTCCATTTCTTACAAGATAGAGGAGATCTCGCCAAGCACATTAAAAAACAGCCTTTTCCCATCTCCTGTCAGCTCCATCTCACCTGGGTTGCACAGCTTTACAGATAACCACAGGCTGATGAAAAGGCGAAAGTCCATTTAAAGGGATTTGTCTTCTTTTGCTTTCCTTGTTTTCCCCAGTTCTTCTCCGTTGTTTTGGGTTTTTTTGTTCCTTGAGTGAGACGGAGCGAGGCCAAAGGGAGTAGAGAAAGCCAGTCCTCCTCTGAGACTCAGCTCTTGAGCATGAAGCATGGATTATTACTGTTCCAGCAAAGTATGCCTTACATTACCCCCTTGGTGGATGTCAGAGGATTCAAGGTGACGTGAAGTGGGTACCAAATCCAAAGTTGCACACACAGCTGGGAGCCTTCATGTGCCACTGGCACTCCTGACCTAATAAACTATTTTCCTCACGAGCAGGTTGCAGCGTGCGTGTGTGCTTGCGTGGGTGTCGGGTGTGTGTGTATGTGTGCGCGCGTGCAATTCCACAACTAGTGCCATGTGACAAAGCATCAGGTATTATTTTTTTTTCCCTTGAAGCAATTGTGTTCCAGCCTGCTTTTAACTTTTAGATTGCTTCCAAAAGGAATGGGGAGGGTGGGAGGGGAGCCAATTTGTTTTGTTTTTTGCCAAGACAAGCATGCGCCATAAGCAGTCAATATACCAGGTGTATCATGGTAAATTTTTTAATGCTAGATTTTAGATTGTATTAACATTTTAAAAAGGCAGGAAAAGATGGATCATTTTAGCTTGCCAGTTCAAAATGAAAAAAAAAAAATAAAATAAAATAAAGCATGCACTTTGTAAAACTGGTATGCATAATAAAAACACAAGAAAAACTAGCAATGGAATTAATAATCAAAAGCAAATAATCCTATTGATTTAGCTATATTTACTTTTATCATTTTCAACTGTTCCAACAATTTGCAAGTGGAATTTTTAAGAGAAATTGGGAGAATTGTTGGAACTAAAGAGTGTATTTT